GGTTATGAGTTAATTGTCAACAAATATAACAAATATAACGATGCATCATATATAACATTTAAATTGTGATCACGAATAGTTGATGGGCCCAATCAATTATCCTTGAACAATTTCTTAATATGTATGAAATGAATCTCAAGTTTCATTAGTAATAATCTCATAATAATCTTCTAATGAGAACAAGACTATAGGATCTTCTGGTCCTTATAATAACAGAAACTTGTTCTTCAAATAGTACTCACTACTTGAGTTCTTAATGATTTTTTCTTCACACCACAAACTAAAACGTGATAATTTAATTGGTTATGTTTAGAATAAAAATTGATTCAGTAAACTTCTGGTTTACGTGAAAACAAATCTCGATCAAGTGTCATGTAATATTCATTTCCACTGGTATCTTAAACATTAATAGAGACACCATAAACAATAAGGATTTAATTGTTTATACCCAATAGAATATTCGTCAATGAAGGACAATAACTATTCTCTCAAAATATTCAATATTTATGAGACCTTTATTACTTCTTTTATGCAGCTCTAATAATGCAATGCTCTTCTAGAGCTATCTATCAGTTTTAATTTGTATAAAAAGAAAATTATATCCACACTAACTTCTTTTATCACAAGAGAAAAAAAACTCTTACATCTAAAAAAAAATATGTATAATCACTCCTTTGATTATAATATATTAACTACGTCATTCTTCAGGAACATCGATGAGGAATCATATATAGATTAGAACAAAGGTCTTGAAATATCAAAATGTCTCTTTTTAATGAGATTTTTTTATGCTAAAAATCAGCCACTTCAGGCGGTATTTTAATATTATAAGACCTTAGGTAGTATCTCATATACCCATATATTGTGTTTTGATGAACATGTTAACTCTTTTTTATTATTGTGAAAATAAATAAATTAATGTGTATTGATTGAATAATAGGGTTTTTATTAAAAAACGGCTTAGGTACTTGAAGGGTCTCAATTATTATTATTATTATTTATTATAATGGAGGTTACAATTAGAGCAAAACTATGGACATAATGATAAATTAGAGCACATTACATAATCACAAATAATAAGTCTATAATATTAACATTATTATTAGTATTTCTTTGTTGCATAGTAAATAATAATGTCACCTATATATTCATGTGGCATACTCAAATTTTCAGGTTTGAGTTTTCATATTAATGCTTCGAGCATATGAAAACAGAATATGAACTTCAAGTTCACTAGCCAAAAGAGAAAAAAACCAAAGAAATGAATTTTTTTCCGACATAATATGTTCTCGAACACATAATGTAGGCTTCACATGTCAATTCTCTAATATATTTAGGAACTTTAGATTCAATATATCTACAAGTACACTAAAAAACTAAAATAAATAAGTGTATATGTATATGTATATGTATATATCAATAACATGAATATGAACAAGGACAAGATATGAAGAGGAGTAAATTTTTAGAGTATCGTGCTGATAACGTGTTAAGATAAAGATAATAGAAATATTATCAATAACAAGATGATAGAGATATACCTTGATAAGAACACAAATGGAAGATCAAAATGCAATGGAGAGTGAAAGAGAAAGAAATGCAATGAGAGACTAAAGAGATGGATAGATCATTTCATTATATGGAGCCTCTATATATAGGCTTACAAAGGGGAAAATCAAAAGTCTAACTTAGACATGGAAAACATCAAAAGACATTTGTACATAACAAAACAGTCGTTTTTATGACTTAGAAGTTCACACTGTTATTATTGTCAAAATATTTTTATATTCTACTCCCTCCGTTCCACAAAATCCTTCCGGTTTTGACTTTAGGGAAAAATAAGGAAAGTGTAATTTTGGTTGACTTTCCAATTTTGCCCCTGATGTGATGGGAAAAAATAAGTTGTGATAGTTTGGTTATTAGTGAAAAAGTATGATGTGATAGGTAGGGTATGAAAAAGTAGGGGTAAAAGTGATTTTTTAATAGAAAGTGGAAGTGTTTTGTGGAAAGCAAAAAAAAAGAAAGAGGAAGGGTTTTGTGGAACGAGTAAGAAAGAGGTAACAACTTGACATAGAGGGTGAGAATTATTATTAGAGTATAATATTTGTTAAATGTGGGAATGGTATCTTACACTCAAGCTAGAGATGGGGGAGAAGATAAGCTAATGAATATTTCAGGTGTAAAATGGGGAAACTGAATTCTGTTCTTGATGGCAGGGATTTCTTTCTTTTATCCCCCCTGCGTTGAGTCATGGGCCTGAAAGCTTTATTCTTTACAAAAAGGTTGTATAGTTTGACAATAAAGCGGAGCCAAATAACTAACTATGGTTCTCAGTATGTGGGCACAGGATTGAAAAAGTACGTATGGTTTAGGAGCTCTTCTGAAAGACTGGAAAAAAGTAGGATCTTGGAACAAATTGAAAGAAATTGGAACTAAAAACTCAAAAAAACTAGAAAAAAACTGAAAGGTTCTACAAGAAACTCAAAAAACCTAAAAAAAACTCTAAAAATTTATTTAAGGATATTTTTTTATATTATTCTCACTCTAATTTTTTTTATAATTTATTATTATTATTATTATTATTCTAAGTATTATTATTATTATATTCATAATCACCTAAATTTATTTATGCAATATTTATTATTTCATCCATCCCCATTTTGATAATAATTTTATTCTCTCTCTTCATGATAATTTTTGTTTGTTTGTCTGTTTTCATTGATTATTTGATAAAATAAAATATTCTTCTCACCTCTTGTTTTATAGAACTTTTAATGTAGTTTTTTGACATATAATTTTTATTTTTTATTTCCTAGTCTCCTACTCCGTATATTGTAATCATGGGATTTTACCTCGTAACTCCTGTTTTGTAATCAAAATGGGAACAGAGAAAGTATAAAATAATATAATTCATGATTCACATTGTATTTGGATTGTAACTCCTTTTTGGGAATAAAAACATAAATTTCATATTTTGGTACATTTTTATAATATCTGATTTTTTACACTCAAATATCTGAATTTGTTTTTTTACATTTTTGGTTCATTTTTTCTTTTTCATAATATAGGACTACCTTGGTTTTCATTATGTAGTACTCCCTCCCCCTGTTTCATTATTATATTTTAGTTTAAAATATTGATGTTTTTCTCATATCAATTTAGATTAATAAAAATATCCTGTAACTATTGTATGCATAACTTTCTAATACTACCTCCGTCCCAGAGTATTTGTCCACTTTCATTTTTACACACCATCCAATACACTTCTTTAATCCATTTTATCTTGTAATTTGTATATTAAAAAATTATAGAAATTATATATTAATAATTTATATGTTAAGACAAATCAAACAAGATCACACATCACTATATTTAGGCTTACACATTGAGAAAATTTGATGAGTCAAAGTGCTTAGATGAACAGTCCAAAAGTCTATATATATATATATATATATATATATATACACACACACACACACACACACATACTCCCTCCGTCCCAGTGTATTTGCCCATTTCGACTTTTTCGAGTCAAACTGGACAAAGTTTGAGATTCAATTAAATAAAAATCGTAATGTATTTTAACATAAAGATGACTTTATTGGATTCATCATATTGAGAACTTTCAAAATTGTATTTCATTATGCTAAATGCAATATAAATTAAGAGTAATTGGAGTTCAAAGTTTGTCCAGTTTGACTCGAAAAAGTCAAACTGAACAAATACACTGGGATGGAGGTAGTATATCTATAATCATTTTTAAATTTATAATATTCATTAAAATTTAGGCGCGTGTAGCTTTAAATAAAGTAATGAGAATTAATTGAATAGTAATTATTATATAATCCTTAAAAGAATACTTATTTTTTTTATATTTTTGTCTTAATATGATATTATAGGATTTGATCTGGTCCCATCTAATTAGATCTGATTAGATCTAGTCTGATTGGATCTGATCTAATTAGATCTGATATGATTTGATCTGGTTTAAATAAGAATAAGTAATAAACAAAAAAAAGTTGTACGGAACAACCCTAAGAAGTGGGAAAATAAAATTTGAGTGCTTTTCTGGAGCACCTTGGGTGCATACCATTTTTTGGACCTTCTTACATAAATTTTTTTTAATTATTTTTTATTAAAAATTAGACGCTTATTTTAAATAACAAGGAAATGCTTATTTTGTTGATATGAAGGTCCATGGTGAACCTTAGTTCTACCATAGAATTTACCATAAAATTCTTTCTAATTGGGCAAAGAAAATGAGAGAAAATTCTTTTTTTGTTTTTTAACATACTTCGTTGAACCAAACATAACATAAAAGGATAGAGGAAATTTTTTTGGAACATCCCAAATACTCCCTCCGCACGAAATAGATTACGGAATACAATTTTTTTTCTCTTTTCGATAATTTCTGTTTATTGGTGTGTTTTATTTGAGTATTTGATAAAATAAAATATTCTTACCACATCTCGTTTTGTAGAACTTTTAACGTAGTTTTTTAGTATATAATTTTTATTTCTCATTTATGTGTGAATTTATAAATAAAATAATTTTTAAAGATAAAAAATTTTGCCTCGTTACTCTCAATTTGTAATCAAATTTGCAACAGAGGAAATAAGACAATAATTATAGAACCGCACGATTGAGTGAGATAGATTTTAAACCTGAGAGCACATATATGTGACTGAAAATGGAGATCCAAATGAAGTATGTATTTGCTATTTTAGACCGCATGCAGTATTTGCCCACTCCTCCAGATCGACATGAATAACAATAATTTGATGTGAAGATGACATTAATACTCCAATTATTAGTATTAACTGCGCGCAGGATGGGGCGATGCACTCTCCATCTCTGAGTGGGGTCCAAATTTTTTGTGCTAATGAAATTTAAAAGTTTGCTCATACGACACAGAAAAGCTGCACGGATCAGGGAACTAGGAATAAGTTTCAAGCCCGGGGCTTCAAATCTGAGTTTCAAACTTTATATCTCATCTGACCACTTCAACAAATAATTTTTTTTCTTCTTCGACAGTGAAGCCACTCTTTTCAAATATGCCGAATAATCAATTGAGTAAAGAACATCATTCTTTTTGAACATTTACTAAATTCAAACGAACGTACAGGACAAACATCATTCTTTTCGAACATCCCGAACACTATTTTAAAAAAAATTGCCTGCACATTGAGAAATTGTTCACTTCCTGCAAGACAACCCTTGTCAGATGATTTGTTCTTGGTTAGTGATTGTGATTCCTCAACAGTCATGTTCTTCGATCTCCATGGAGGAAGAACCATATGTCATACAGAGTTTTTGAACAGTGTGCACTGGCAACTGTCTCTAGTGTACTTGCGGTGGTTTCCATGGCAGTTGAGGATGACGTAGATGGTGCTATGCCGATCGAACGCAACACTACAACACTACCAAATTTTGCCACAAAATATAAAAAAATTAGCCACAATAACTATTTGTAGCAATTCTAGAATTTGCTACAAGGTTACCATACATACCCCGTCACAAAAGGCATTTGTGGCAGATTTAAATTTGCCATACAATTCATAGTTTTTGTGGCAAGTTATGGTTTGCCACTAATAATACTTTGCCACAAAAACTCATGTTCAGTGGCAACTTTTAGTTGCCACAAATTATTATTTGCCACAAGTGTTTCTTCAAGTTTTTTGAAATCTAATCTTTCAACAAAAAAAATCTTCCACAAGAAATTTGCATATGCCTAATTGGCCTTTGAAAATCTCAAAATATTGAAGGGAGAGTCAGCAGGTTAGCACTAATACCCAACCTTGGCAAGGATGATACATCAAGAACAAGACAGAAAGCCCTCCTCCTCCTAACAATGGATGGGAAATGAACCTTAAATTACACACTAAAAAGAATCATCCAAAATGAAGAAGGCATTGAGACTCAAAGATAGATTGTATGTACCATTAGATAGCTTCACCGTTATCTGAGTCTCCATCGTCCGACGATTCTTCTCTCTCTCCTCCTTCCACGGCCGCAGCAGTTTGACTCTTTTTCTCTTTCTTCCTTTGCTTTTTCTTCTGCCGTTTCGAACGTTTCTTTGCAGTGCGCTCCTCAGCGGCTCTCACTCGTTCCTCTTTCCTTCTGTTGAATTCGGCTATTTCCTTTCTTTTCTGGTAATCAGCGTCCATCCTCGCAAGCCGATCTTGTTCTTTTCGTCTCATCTGTCGATACTGCAACCAGAGAATTCGCACACAGCTTAAGTAAAACATAAAACCCAAAAAAAAGTGTTTGGTTATTTAAGCTAGCTCCTACTGACCCTGACTGACCAGAAGACAGTGTTGTTTCCATAGTAAAATTTGAACACCCCTCCCCATACGAAGTGAACTAAAGAATGCAAATGCTTGAGATAAAGATATTCTAATTCCTATTCTACGGATGAAAATTTGCCCACTCGTCTAAAATCTCAATAGGATAAATTTTCACAAATCACAATAAAAAGTTTTTTTGACTTTTTACATGCTACTGAAAAACAAGTAATTGACATGAACATTTCGGGTCATTGTTTGTTTTTCATCAACCTAAAAAACATGCTAACAACTGAAACCCCGGGTTTCGTAATTTCATAATATGTTACAGCAATCCTTCACGTACAGCAAACATTTCTCCTTGTTAACATCAATAAAGCAACAAAGTAGTTTCTCTGCCAGTTAAGTCCTACTGAGCAATCATACTCAAGATTCTGCCCACCAACCACCATCTTCAAGATTCCATCATAGCTGCAGCAATCAACGTACCTACTTATCTTAAGGTATGTTTGGGAGGAGATTTCTGAAGAGAATGGAGACGGGAGATGAAGTGTTGTTCCTTATTTTTTGACTTAAGAGAACTATACTACCTCTATACCATAAAAAGAGTCATGTTCCACAAGTACAACGTTTTAAAAATAATCATGAAGTGTTGTTCCTTATTAGATTTATCTTGTAAAAATATTTTCAGAAAATTGTTTTATCTAATTAATATACCATATATTTTTATTTAATTATAGGTCAAAAGTTGGTTTTGGTTGAATGCAAAAAGTCAAAACAAGACAAACACTCTAGGATGAAGGGAGTAACTTGCGTTTGACTCCTTTTTGGAAAATTACACATGAATTAGCTACATTTGATTAAACAAAACCCCTTTAAGAGACCAAAATGTGTTTGAAACTTTTTTTATGGGACATGGAGTGTATACATGGTTTCATTGGTTTGTGGTGTTAAATATATAGTGGGGACATTGGGTTATACACTTATACCCAATGTCTTATTACTTTGCACAATTTCCTTTTCGGGGCATTCCAAATTACTTTATACAGTTCTCTCTCCTTCACATCAACTTTTTTTTACCAACTTTCCCATTAAACTTTCCATCAATTTGACACAATGCTCTTTTTCAACATTAAATAGCTCCACACAAATTCATAACACACTTTAACTCACTCCTACTTTAAGTGCAAGTCAAACTGTGCAAACCATTTAGGAGCGGGAGTACTGTATTATAATTCTTATGAGGATTCGTTTCAAATGAGTAATAATGCATCCCTTCCAATGCATTTCAAAATCCGCCTTCCCAACCATACCCTACCACTAAAATATTTTATTAATCCCTCTTCTACTGTAAAACGGAATCATTAGACATGAATTTTTTGCAACTAAAGTTTACCATGATTCCACATAAGCTTATGCATCTTAGTAGCAACTAATGAACCATTATAGAAAGTCAAACTACAAATAAAAGAGAAATTGATCAGAACCATTGACACTATGTTTGGTTTAAGGAATTCGAAAGAGAAAATGAAAGAAAATGAGATGTAAAATATTTTTTCTTGTTTGGTTAGAGTGGAAAAGAAAAGAAAATGAGAAGGCAAAATGTACTAAGAGGAGGGAAAACAAAATACATCCCATTTTTGGAGGGAAAGTGAGAGAAAACAATTTTCTTTTCTTCCAAGTTCCTTGAACAAAACATAGTGTTAACTCGTTAAGACACAAGAAACTACACAAGCTTGACAAACAATGAAAGAAATGGCAAGCAGGGGAGATACGAGACAACTTTCAGACATGCATCACATCCAAACCTCACAATGTCTGAATTTGGAACAACATCACACTCCAAGTAAAACAAAGTTTGCGAGTTCAATATTTCAATTACCTGATGAAAGTCACCAGAACCTGAACCAGCAGAGCTACCAGAAGTATTGCTCACACGAACAGGGACACAATCAAGAATACGACGGAGCTTAACCTCGAGGTCCTCCTCTTCAATGTTGGGTGCAGGTGGTGTGTATTCTACTAAAGCATTGGAGGAAGACGTTGGGGGTCGAGGAGGAAGAGAAGCTACTGTCCTCTCTTCCACAGAAACCACCTGCAAGTCTCCTGCAGCTACAGACCGACTTGATGATGCCATCTTTGAAATCCTTAGAAATGCACCATAAGGCAATTGGAAGTTGAGGTCTGCTGTGAATTCTGCAAAGCCTATAAAAAATTTGCGAGTAGATTATGGATTCAATTCTGATTGATAGTGGTAGGGAAATTGAAAAAGTGGATTTGATGTGCGTGAGCTCTGAGTTCAGCATGACAGAAATCGTCTGTGAACTTCCCAAGAAAGTGAATTAACATACACAGAAGCGGCTAAAATAAGACAACAAAATAAATATACATCTTAGAGATATAGATCATTAATTACTTGCCTAGTGAAGATATGTTTGGTGACTTTGGTCTATGGTGCTCCACTTGGGGAGATTCTAAAGATTTAATCACCAAGGTCTTGACATTTCACACATGTTTTAACTTATAACGTAACCATAAAGTTTTTAACCTAAGAGCAAACATGTTATGCCTATTTTCACAAACTCAACTCCTACCCTTCCAATAACCTTCGTTCTTCAAAGAGAATTAGAAAGTGCTTCCTTGCCTTTTACCAACATATGGAACTTTCCTTCTATAGCCTTACTATTAACACCATAATTGAATCCTCAAAAATGAAATACCCCGCATCAGAAAAACTTAAACCATGATGAGCAAGTAACTGAGGAAAAAAGGCTTCACGGATATTGAAATGACAAAAAGACATTTAAAGATTGGATTACGTCATATGATACTTTGGCCCACGATGCTTGCTGACTTGCAGCATGACATTCAAGATTATATCATTTTCATGGACTGATAGAGCAAAGTGTTATCCAGACAACTGGAAGTCGCACACCTAAATCCAGTTGTAGCACTTGTATGACAAATTACAGCAATGAAATACTTTAAATTATGAGTTAAATGCATAAATACTCCCCATGGTCTTTTATAAGTGGGTAAAAGTCCTCGAACTTTCAAAAGTTGCAAAATAGTCCATGTGGTAGAAGAATTGTTGCATAATTAGTTCTTCCTTTAATAAAAAGGTGAAGCACGCAAAACACATGTGTATTATTCGAATATGTGAAGCATGTAAGAAAAGTTGGTTCAAAGTTTTAATTGTGATGTGTAAGCTTGAACCGTAATACAATGTCTGCTATCTTTTGGTTCAACTCTCACAACTTCATGTCTTCCATAGTGATCTTCTTGAATAACAATACAATGTTCTAAATAAGCTCGACATCATTTCATTCTTCAAGTAATTTTATTCTAAGGTAATGCCGTGTGGTATAAGAGATGGAAGAAGATCCTTCCCCGCTTTTAACCACAAAGATGAGGGCAATTTCTTCATACTTGGTCCGTCCCTGAGTGTTTGTCCACTTTTGACTTTTGGAACTGTTCATCTAAGCACTTTGAATCATCAAATTCTCTCAATGTGTAAGCCTAAAAATAGTCATGTGTGATCTTGTTTGATTCGTCTTAACATATAGATTATTAATATATAATTTTTATAATTTTTTAATATACAAATTACAAGATAAAATGGATTAAAGAAGTGCATTGGATGGTGTGCAAAAATGAAAGTGGACAAACACTCAGGGACGGAAGGAGTATTAGCTTCTTTATTTTGTTACGTGCTTCACATCTGCATAGTGCATAGTATGCACTTGTTTTGCGCGCTTCACGTTTTCCCTAAAAAAAGACAAATTATGCAAGAGTCCTTTAACATAGAGACTACTTTGCAGCTTTTGAAAGTTCGAGGATTACTTACCCACTTATGGAAGACCACGAGGACTATTTATGTATATAATTCCATAAATGATTCACATTATAACTGTAGAAAGCATATGAGATCGTGATGAGATAGAATGCATCATGATTAAACTGCTTGAGAGGCAACCTAACTGGAGATTAAAACAACTGCTTGAACAGATGGATGAATTGCAGATAAATGTGTTCAAGATACAAGAGTAGATTCATTAATATGAAGATTCCCTCTCTGTCTATTGTCGCCGCAAACTCTAGAGCGCGATGTTGCAGCACCTAGGGGTAGGCATGGATTGGTTCAGGCCAATTTTTTACAAACCCGGCCCCAAGTTGTTTATATACATACAGAGCAGGTCGGGGCAGGTCGTCAAAAAATAGATAATTACAATCGACCCTAATTCTGCTACTAGGGGATTCACCTGGGTTGTTGCTGTTGCTGTAATCGACCCTAACCCGGTTTATTTGAAACGGGTCAATTCCACGGTTCTACGGGTCTGAACCTAACATGATCAAATACCCTATTGGCTAATACACAATTACACATGATCTGATTAGAAGCATACCATTATAGGAATGACTAAAGTCCAGTGTGAAGTATGCTACAAACCATAAAACCGACATTAGAAAAAGCTAAGAATACAATAACATGATAAATCATTTTCCTTAACTAACTTAAGAAACAACACTCGAAGAAACAAAGGTCACCGGTTCACAATTTATTAAAAAGTGTAGTAGCTGCTGATTTGAGTCCAGTACCTCATTTAAGTAAGAATATAAACAAAAAAACAAAAAAAATCCAAACAAGCAACCGTTTTTTTCAAATCCTAAATATCAATAAACACAATTTTAAAAAATTCTCACATTTACAAATTTAAATCAACACTGACTCACCATCCATATTCAAACCTAAAAAATAAACCCAAATTTACAAATGCCAAAAATAAATTATCATTCTATAAAATTATCATTTATCAAAAATCCTATCCAATTAAACATAGAACAAATAGAAAAATTAAGGGTTTATACCCGAAATAAGTGGCGGACTGGCGGCTGGGGCGAGCCGGCGGCGACAGGCTTCTGGAGTTCAGCCTCTGGTCGGAACCGGCTGCTCCCTGGCACTGGAGTTGCATCGCCTATCAGGAAGAGGCGATGGAGGATGGTCGAAGGAAGGCTGTGGATTCTGGACAATGGTCGAAGTAAGCAATACAGGCAAATGGGTCTTGGAACCCGGGGTTGTTCGGAGCAAGGTCAGGAGGAAGTTACCATCCGGTCTATTTCAATGTTTTGAAAACCGGACGGGACGTCGAACCGGATAAGCTACTGGGTCAAGAGTCAACCGGTTGAACCGGGTTGACTCGGGTCAACGACCCATGACTTGGTATATAACATTCATATTTATGTTTAGATAATAAAAAATTAAATAATACCATATTTTGTGGACTATTTTTAAAGATAATAAAATATTACCACATAACTTAAATACCTATTTTTTCTAAATAATACAAAGCACGTACTCCCTCCGTCTAACTTAATATTGTGTTTTTTTCTTCTCCATGTTATTTTCAATGTTATTCTTCATATACTCTTTCACACTTCCCATGTTTTATAATATATAATTAGTATATATTTCTTCATTTTCTAGATGATAATAATGGTTTAGATGTAAATTATTCATTATTATTTAATACAAAAAATAATATTTATTTTTTCTTTGAAATATTTTAAAAGATTATAAAATAACTATACAACACAAACATGTTCTTTCTTACAAATAGTTAGAAATTTTTTAAATTCCCTCAACACAAATAAGAAACACTATGTATACTATCCTGCATGATTTTGGTAACAAGTACTTTGTAGCTTAAGTAGTTAGAGTCTTTGAGAGTTGTATGGTGAGGTTTAGTGTTCGATTCCTATCTCCATCATTTTATTTCATAGACAAAAAAAATTGGACGCAACCCGCAGGTCGGCCTGGTCAACCCGGTCCACCGGTTCTGCCCGGGTTTGGGCGGGTCAATTCATTTCCGGTTTTTGCAACTGAACCGGACCGGAGTGCTCAACGGTTCAACCGGCCAGTCCGGTCCGGTTCTAATAACATTGGTCTATTTCCTTCATTTCTTAACACTCTTTCTCTTTAATTATTTTTTGTAAAAGAGTAACACTTTTTTATTACAAATTATGTAAAAAAAATATTGAATTATAATATAAACTTAATAAAATTGGATTCATTTTAAGAAATAATGTTGGTATATAAAATTTTTATAACATTTATTTACTTAGATTATATTTAATTTATGGTCAAATAATGTCATTGTTCGACCAAAAAAAGTTAAAATAGAAAAAGTTTTTAGGGACGGAGGAAATATAATTTGATAAAATTATATATATACAAACTAGTAAATAACTTTAAAAAAATAAAAATCTAAAGTATACTCAATATTGAATTTTAGTTCTTTCATCATAAATAGGGGTGTTCATCGGTCCAGGACCGGACCGGACCGAACCGGACCGAAGACCGAAATTGGAAAAATATAGGACCGAGGACCGGACCTATTCACAGTCGGTCTTGGACCGGTCCGGACCGAAAACACTTAGACCGAACCGAAATAGACCGAGTAGACCGAAATCTGCAGATAACCGAAAAAAGATACTACTCCTGAGCTGGTACAGTAGGAAGCCTAAAACACAGTGTATAATCAGTTTCCTTATTTAGGACTTGGTTTAAATATTAATAATAAAAGGGAATAACAACAACCTAAACTCCCTTAAAGCTATAAAACAAGATTTGACTTCACAGCAAAAGCAAATTGGGATTCAATTGATATTGAGGGAGACGAGATGAGTACCTGATTCAATTGGGATTGGCGTCGGCGTCTCAAGATCGGCTCTCGGCGATTGAGTATTTCAGGCGAGAGAGTCGCCGAGTCGAAGCTGGACAGTGGGCTCAAGATTGCGACTGACGAGTGACGACTACGACACGGCGAATTGCAACCGGCGATTCCTCTCTCACGCTGTCGAAGCAGTCGAACAACACAGGCAGTGAGGCTTAGGCACACAGGATACGATTAGGTCTCCGATAAGGTTGGGCATTTGAATGGTTATTTTTGGACGGAACATAAAAAAATAAGAAAGGGAGCTAATCGGTCTTTTTTGGTCTGGACCGATTGGTAATCGGGTAATGACCTGACCGAACAGAAACCCTAAATTAAAAAAATCTTGGACCAAAGACCGACCCGAAATCCTATCGGTTCGGGTTCGGTCTGGACCGATCGGTCCGGTTCAGTCGATTTTTCCGGTCTAGACATATAAATGAACACCCCTAATCATAAATTCTACCAGTATATCATATATTCAATATTTTATTAATAAAATCCTTTAATATAATAAAGGAGACTCGGATCATCAGAGCTCGACAAGTGGAACGTCTATGTGGAGCCTTTATTGACACGTCAACGATGACGGTACACGGATCTAAAATCTATCCTAAAATAAAGTCTTCATATTTGGAAACTTTGTTTATAATCATTGACCATTTAGTTTATAGTAATAAAACTTGATGTTTATATACATTTGAAAAATTTAAACTTATATATTTGATATTCCAAAAAAATTACATCCTTTAAATTCATTTAACTTATTCATATCTCCAAGAGTTTTTTTTATAAAAAATCCTTTATTATTATATTTGAGATTCAGGCTCACAGAATGTCGACATGTGGCGGGTCTACTTGGCAAGTTTTTTATGAGTCATCTTCCACCTTTGATAACTTTAATGACTTGGAACTTTTATATTAAAATATAGAAAGATCCAGTTCTAATTAATATGCCTAATATATTTCTATACGGCGACTAGAACATAATTCCGAAATAGAAAAATAAGAAGATAATTATGAGTAATTTTTAAACTTTTTTCTAATGTATTTTGATTAATTATAATGAGTACAATGTAAAAAACACCATAGTTCTTTCTATTGATAATATATGTTCAATTTATTTTTTATGTAAATTAATGATTCCATTGAATAATAATAATAATAATACGTTTAAGTTATAACAAATTGAAAAGGTTAAAAAAAGAGAAATACTACTATAGAAGTAAAATATAAAAAAAGTATCAAAATTACTTATTTTGAGTTCTACCTCAATACTTCTCCCTCCTAACTATTACTGTTATTTGAGTTTACTCTCATCTTTTTTATTGTGTATTCTAACGTCTAATATTTGATAATTTTAAAAATAATTAAAATTTTGACTATAGGTTGTATTTTTTTTAACTGAGAAAATTATAATATCCAAAGTGGACACTTCACACTTAATCTTAATGTTCAAAGACCTTCTCACATAAAAAATATATTTTTTTAAAATTTTTTTATTTATAAAAACAAATACTTATTTAAGTAATAAAGAAATACTTATTTTGCTCATATGTAGGTCCATGGTAAAACCTTAAGTCCACCATAGAATTTTTCGAGATTCATTAATATGTTTAAAACTAAATTCATAGATTGAAATAAGACTTTCACTGCGTTAAACCAACGAAAATAATTGATATAATTGTATTGTCAAAAAATGTAAAAGAGATTAATTTTAGAATTACTGAAGATATTTTTTTGAAAAAAATGCATACGCAATGGTGACTACTTATGTAAATTGTTTTTTGGGAAACCTAATATAAATAAATAACCTTAATTGTTTGAAGAAAATTATACTACATCCGTCCCATAAAACTTTTCAAATTAGAAAAAAGGCTGCACCCTAAAATTATTTATCCTACACATCATAACTTAGCTTATTATAAAGTAAAGGAAAAGTTAGAAAATAATATCAAAATTATACATTTTTAAAGGAGTTCAGTGGTAT